TATGGACTTAAGCATGGGCCTGTTATAGAATTCAATGCAGGCATTAATCCATTTATGGTATGGAATTTTTAGTTTCAGCCAGCTCTACACCAATCAGAAATTCTTTGAACAGATGTATGCTATATTCAAATAACATTTTTCTCGTAAAATGAAAGTGTTTTATTGGAAGGATTCATCAAAGACAAGACAGAATAATTCTATTATGTACATGATAACTGATCTATGGTTCCAAAATTACTATCCTTTCAATATAAAATAATTGGCTATAAACTTCTTGAAATCTTGGGTTTATGTCTTATATTTCATTAATATTTATTATCTCTAAATACTACTTGAAAGTATGCCCAGAAGGTTGTAGTTCTTATTTAGTAAGTGTTTGGCATCCTCAATCTTCTATTTTCCTCTAGTCTTGTAATCACTAGTGCATTAGAGAAGGGGTAAGCTTATAGTTAAAGGACCCCACTGTCCACAAAGATGTCAATATCACAAAAGTACCACACTTTACAGAAGACACTCTCATGTACTCTGACATTCACTGGTCATAAGAGTGTACGCCTGGGTTCTAGTTTCTGCTCTGCCATGTAGAAAGGTGGTGGTGATGAAGGTTTTGGCAAGCTCTGAGTCCAAATTCCAGCACTGCCATCTCTAAACCATGTCTTTGGTAAGTTATTTAAGTCTTTGATTTCTCACATATAAAATGGGAAAACTACCACTTATCTCAAAGGTAAATCAGGTACATAAAATGTAGTAAGCCAAATTTTAAGATGGTCTTTACTACCTTTACTCCCCGGTGTTCCTTTCATGATTATGTTACTTTATATGGCAAAGGACATTATCCAAGTTCACCTAATCTAATCACACAAGCAAAGAGTTTTCTTTGGCTGACAGCAGAAGAGGAGGTCCGAGAGCTTTGAGGTACAGAAAGGAGTCTAAGAACTGTTGTTCGCTTTGAAGATGGGGGTAGCTCTGTGCAAAGGAATGTGAGTGGCTTCTGAAGGCTGAGAGCCAGCCCCTGGCTGATAGAAAGCAAGAAAACAGGGACCTCAGGCCTATAACCAAAGAAAATCAATTCTACCAACATCAGGAATGAGTCTGGAAGCAGACTTCCCCTAGAGTTTCCAAATAAGATCCCAACCTGGCCAACACCTTGATTTCAGCCTTTTGAGATCCTAAGCAGAAAATCTAGATAAGCCTGCCCAGACTTCTGACCTAAAGCATAAACAGATATTGAGTTAATTAACAGGTATTGTTTTAACCTGCTAAATTTGTAATAATCTGTTTCGCAGCAATAAAAAGCTATTACAAGTGATTGTTGGTGTGCAGCACATAGGAAAGGTTCACAAATTATATTCTTATTAATAACTCATAAGCTCAAATAAGTGATTTTAACTTATTTGGGTTTTAGTTCTTCGATCTGTAAAGTGAGGTGTGGCTAGCTAAGTGATAAATTCCACTCTAAACTTCCTTAAGCTGAGAATTCATTTTTAGCTTTTTGCAACTGTTGCCATACCTGCTGGACCTCCTCCATTCACTCCCCAGATCCATTCAGTACCCTTCATTACCCCATGCTGCACCCCAAGAGGCTGACCTCCAAGGAATGCAGCAGTGGACTACCTTGTCACTGTAACGGAAGGAACCGGCAGGATATCCAAGTGATGAACAGTCAGGTCTGAGTATTTATTTCCTGGCTTCCAACAAGTGTACAAAGTGCCAAGGGGAAAAATAATCCCTTACTTGGGGAGGGGTGTGTGGAAGCAGGGAAAGAGGGTGCTATCAACTGAACTGTGCCCCTCCACCCCAATTCAATTTGTATGGTAAGGCCCTAACCCTCGATGTGACTATAGTTGGATATAGTGTTTTCAGGAGGTAAATAAAGTTATATGAGGTCATAGGGTGGGATCTTAATCGAATGGGACTCGTGGCCTTATAACAAGAGGAAGACAGAGAGATGTCTTTCTTTCCATGTGCTCACACTGAGGAAAGGCCATGTGAGGACATGACAAGAAGGTGGCTGTCGATATACCAAGAAGAGGTTCCTCACCAGAACCCAACCATGCTGGCATCCTGATTTTGGACTTCTAGTATCTAGATATGTAAGAAAATAAATTTCTGTTGTTTAAGCCAACAGAGTCTATTGTACTTTGTTATAGAAGCCTGAGTGGACTAATACTGAGAGCAAGGAGGACTTCTCAGAGGTAGTGCTTCAGCTGAGATGTAAAGAATAGGAAAGACATTTTGTTTCTTGGTGGTTAGATGTAGTGTCTTTCCAGGCATAGGAAACATGCAACAAGGCACAGAAATTTTAGGTAGCAGCATCTACACAAGCTGTTGGAGTACAAGGTGCTTGGAAGGGAAATGAGAAGGGAGGCTGGAAAAGACAGCTGAGGCCAGTCATTGAGGTTTAACAACAAATGCCCAAGACTTTGCTTAAAGGATCAAGTTCAGTGGGATAGCACACAAGATTCTTAAGCTTTTGGGAAGTATATAACAGTATTCACATTCAAAAGACCATTCTTGTGTCTGTGTGGAGGGACAGACCCATAAAAATGGAGAATAATTTAGCTCTGGCTTTCACATTGTGCCTCATGAAGCTCCAAAGTTCCTAATAGTGAAGAGTCACCATAAAGATGAAGGAGATAAGTGGGCAGGGTCCTGGGACCCCCAGGACCACGTTAATTACAGCAGTTCTGTGGCCTTAGGACCTGGAATCTTCGATACACTCAGAACAACCAGTCTAGAATATTTTACTTCAAAGACTATGGAAAATGGCTCATCTGAATGTCAAAGGCACTGCCCACAAAGCCTTCGAGTTGTGGTGGAAAAAGGGGAATCATTAAGAATTCTGAGAAAAATGTGTCTGGACTCCTGCTAGGAAGAAGACAGCATTAGTACCACATGGATGGGCCCAGGCTAGACTGGAGGTCATGCCAAAGCCCTTGTTTTTCATGCCTCTTAATATATTTTCAGACTACACCTAGACATATTTATGATTCTGTGTGGAAAAGTTTTTTAAAAAGTGATTTTCATACCACAGAGATCTCTTGTCTGACATATTTTTTATCTCAAAATATCAGATTATAGTGAACAGCAATAGAAAAATAATATAGAGCAAGCAAAAATCACTATAAACTAACCTTCTGGTTTGAAGAAAAGATGCTGTCAGGAATGAAGTTTTTGGCATCTGTACAGAAGAGCTAAAAAGACTATTTTAAGATTGTAGAAACAGACGCATTGATACTTGAACAGACTGACAACTGTAAGAAGGAGGAGGGCACTGGATGAAAAAAGGTGGAGGGATGAGCCAAAGAATATGTATGCATGACCCATGGACATGGGCAATGATATCGGAACTGCCTGAGGGGGTGCATGGGTGGAGGTGGGCAAAGGGGGAAAAAGTGGGGACAACTGTAATAGCATAAACAATAAAATACTGTAATAATAACTAAAAAAAGATTGTAAAGTAAGAACTATGCCCAGCAGAGGGCAGTGCAGCTCACCAGGAAGGTACTATGAGTACAAGAGACAGGTGCATATATTAGGAGCTAAAATATACTAATCCTTGAAAACTATTTTGTGTCTAGTGCGACTTTACTTTTCTAATACATGTCAGACATATTGCCTAACTGCTATGTCCCTTGAAAAGGTAGCATAGGGATGAGCTATTAAAGTCTTATAATTTAAAAACTACCTGGAAAATTTTAGCTCCCTAAAAAACAGAGAACTGTATCTTCATTTCTAGAAGGGCTGAAGTTTCTGTTGCCTTCACTATTTAAAACAACTGCCTTCATTTCCTAAATAAGTTAGCTTTTAAAAGAGTCTAATATCCCCACTTTATTTTTCTACAGTCTTCTTTAACTTATGCTGTACATAGCCCCAATAGCTGATAAGATTTTTTACTCTAGATAGTTGCCTATAGAAACAGTCAGTACAGAAGTGGTTCGTAAGTAAGATTCATTCTAACAGGCAGCTGCCATCCTAATAATGTATAATTAATTGTATTTATTTTTTCCTTCTAACAATAATGTGCTGATTCTAGCTTTGAACAGCCTTATGAGCTACCATTACTGTCCTGACTGCCACTAATAAACACCATCTATGTTCTTCATTAGAACAGGTTTTAAATACAATGTTAGGTTCATATGATATATAATATTATTTTTAATAACATGCAAGATCTTTACAGAATTCACATTTTTTATCTACATTTGTCCTTCATATATACACATAATTCTTTTTTTAGAGATTTTATTTATTTATTTTTAAAGAGGGGAAGGGAGGGAGAAAGAGAGGGAGAGAAACACCAATGTGAGGTTACCTCTCATGCGCCCCTACTGGGGACCTGGCCTGCAATCTAGGTGTGCCCTGATTGGGAACTGAACCAGTGACCCTTAGGCTCACAGGCCAGTGCTCAGTTCACTGAGTCACACCAGCCAGGGCCAGACAAAATTCAAATCAAGACATTGGCAATGAATTATTATTTATTATTATTATTATTATAAATTCAAGTACTTCAAAGTTTTTCAGCATTAAATTTACAGCTGAAAATTTTGAAGAGACTCAGATTCAAGTTTCCTGACAATCTGGATCTGAATGTTTAATTCATCATTCATACTTACTGTTTATTGCAAATATTCAGATAAGATATGCAAAGTTACCCATAATTATAAAAAGACTAAAAATTAAATTAATAAACATTCCTGAGATTATCACAAATTTGTCACTCAAAAAAGAGACATACTCAGTATTCTATACTCATAGGAAATCTGTAGGGCAGCCAATAAATCAAATAATTCTAAATATAGTTACTATGGCCCAATTAGCTCAAACTTAATGACAGGAATACAGAATAGCTTTATGTTTTATTTATTTCTCAGAAAAGAATGTAACAGATCTGCAATTTAGCAACCATGCTAAAGAACTTTTAAGAGATTTCCACTCTCTGAGGAAACAGTGCCAAAGAGTAGAAATTCCTAATGTGGTTGTAGTTTTCAAAATATTACCTCCAGAAGTGCAGTTCAAATCCTTCACATTTTTCTTTGCACTTTAAACAGGGGGCTCCAAATCCTTGCTCATGACCTAAGCCCATCTGTTAAGAAGAAAACAATATGGATTTATTATTACATGTTTGAAAATCTAAAAAATTCAATAAATTACACTTCTAATTCCACTTACCACTCCTGTTTACAAAACTTTCAAACAAATCTTTCATGAGTATCACACTGTTTAGTCAATCAATGACTCCCAGGTATGTACATGGCAACTCCATGTACATACATACTTGTATTCTTATTGCTTTTGTTCATAAAAAGAAAAGCATCAAAATAAAACCATATGGAAGACAACAAATATTGTGATTTGTAAAAAGTCATGAATTGTTATCTTTGGGCACTACATGCCCCTGTGTACAATAGGTACAAGGAGCTTAGAAGGTAAGCCTGTCTGCAAATGACATTATTTTGCCGAAAATAATGAATGAGTAAAGATTTTAGGCTTTACACTAAAAATATTATTTTATAGTTTATATTTTTACACTAAAAATATTATTTTATATTTTATAATAAATATAACAATAGCAACAACAAACATATCGGATACCACGGAACTGGGATAAACATTAATCTCATAACCTGATAATTAATGCTTATAGAGTAGATGATATTATTCTCCATTTTAGAGATAAACAACCCTGATTCCTGTGCTTTTATGCCTAGGTAGGGGTGGGGGCATTACTATTGCTTTTATTATGGCAAAACAACTTTTTTCTTTATCACATTAAATAATAATTCTCAGGAAGGTGCTGATACATGACCTGAGGTGGGGAGGAGAACACGAGGGAAAGTCACAAGAAGGCAATGTAAGCTCTTTTTCGCAACTATTGATATCAAAGTAAAAAAGATCAAAAAAAGATTTTGTATAGCGCATTGGCAAAAAATAAGTTATTTTGTGTTTTAAATATCACATCAGTGCCCTGGTTGCTGTGGCGCAGTAGACTGAGCACCGGCCTGTGAACCAAAGGGTTGCTGGTTCAATTCCCATTTGGGGCACATGCCTGGGTTACTAGCCAGGTCTCCAGTAGGTGGTGTGTGAGAGGCAACCACACATTGATGTTTCTCTCCCTCTCCTTCCCTTCCCTTCTGAAAATAAATGAATAAAATTTACTAAAAAACTCACATCAGTCACAACTGAGAAATTCATTATCTGCTACTATCTGGAGTGATACTTCAAGACAGAAAAGTAACGTATTTTTTTTCAATGGCACCCTTTTGTAACCTTACCAAGTTATGTTTGTCAATAAGCATTCAAAAACACCACTAACTTTTTCCTTAAAATATCAGCCTGACCACGCCCTGAAGTTTAATAATTAATAAACAGGAAGACCTTCCTTTTTCTTTTAATTAAAGCAAGTAAACCCTTCCTGTGTGTGTGTGTGTGTGTGTGTGTGTGTGTGTGTGAAGAAAACCACCATGTCCTCTTTCTATAACTAAGGGCATATTCAAAACCAACTGGTCCACTCAGCTGCTTAGGAGAACCCATGTTATTTTAAGTCAGACTATCTGAGGCACGCTTTCTAATGGTGATAAAAATCTGTCCAACATTAACTAAACTTCATTACTTTTGCCATGTCTACATTACCAATTTTTAAAACAATTTTAATTCTCTAAATCATATGTTTAACTTTAACATTAGAATACACTTTTCTTCTTTTGAGGAATCCAATTGTTTCCTTGTCACTGATGATCATAGTTACAGTACAGAAAAAAAAAATGGGCTAAGCAAAAGCCAGGGAGAGATGGCTACTTAAGGTTTTCAGTCTTTCATAATGTACATACTTACAGAGTTTTCTCTGATACCCATAATAAAATGAACAGTATATCTAAAAAGGTATATTCTTCTTCAATCCCTTTCTCCATTAAAGAGAATTAACAATCCTAAATTCACCTGTTGTATGGATCTGCTTCATACTGTGTTTCATGCATCTCCTACTAAACTCCAATCCGAAATGAAAATTAAGATTATATTATTAAGGCTGAATCACACAGCTCAGCTTAAATCAACTGGTTTTAAACTCCTTTATATATAATTCACAGTAAGAAATATATTTTGTCTGGTGACAAAGAAAATACATACATACAAACTTATGTGTGTATTAGTATGTTTAAATTCTGAAACAAAGACGTACTGGCTTAGATAATAACTGGGACTGAGTGTGCTTCTGCCTCTAAATCAAATCACCACCTAAACAAATTTTTGCGTGCTTTTAAATCTGAATCCCCTGATCTGAAAAACATTGGGCTTAATAAAATACTACAAGTATACTGAAACAATATTATTGTGTTTTTCATTTCTGAATGAAACTTGGAAGCTCAGCTAATATCGCTAGAACCTCAAATAACATTTTACACTATGGCCTCAGTGTAGCTCACTGATTTACAAAGTCAGCCTTGGAAAGGAACAAGTTGTTTCTTTCCCATCTGTTTTTTATCTCCCTAAAATGGTTATCAAATTATTTACTAGAATTATTAAAACTGGAAGTATTCCATGAACATCTGCTTTTTATTTTTTAAATTATATTTTATTGATTATGCTATTACAGTTGTCTTGATTTTCCCCCTTTGTCCACTCTCCACCCAGCGCCCCCCACTACCTCAGGCAATCCCCCCACCATTGTTCATGTCCATGGGTTATACGTATAATTTCTTTGGCTACTATTATTTTCTGTACTGTACTTTACATCCTTATGGCTATTCTGTAACTACCTATTTTGTTCTTTTTAATCCCCTCACTGCTTCACCCATTCCCCCTCTTCCTCCTCCCATCTGGCAACCTTCTGGTAACTAACTTCTTTTCTCTTATTGTAAGAGTCTCTCTTTATTTTTAACCTTTGGCCTTTTAATAATGATGTGTCTTGCAGTGGGCCTCTTTGCATCCATCATAATTGAGACTCTCTGCACTTCCTGGAATTACATGTCTATTTCCTTCACCAAATTAGGTAAGTTTTCTTTCACTACATTTTTCAGATAGATTTCCAATTTCTTACTGTTTCGCTTCTCCTTCTGGCACCCGTATGATGTGAATGTTGGATCTCCTGAAGTTGTCCCAGAGGCTGTTTGTACTATTCTCTTTTTTTTTAACTCTTTTTTCTTGTTGTTCTGCATGGTTGTTTTTTGCTTCCTTATGTTCCAAATCATTGATTTGATTCTTGGCTTTATCCATTCTGTTGTTGTTTCCCTGTAAATTGTACTTTATTTCAATTAGTGTATCCTTCCTTTCTGACTGGTCTCTTTTATGCTGCTGAGGTCCTCACTAAGTTCTTGAGCATCATTACAACCAGTGTTTTGAACTCTGCATCTGATAGATTCTTTATCTCCATTTGGTTTAGCTCTTTTTCTGGAGTTTTGGTCTATTCTTTCATTTGGGCCATGTTTCTTTGTCTCCTCATTTTGGCAGCCTCCCTGTGATCATTTATATGTATTAGGTGAACTTGCTTTGACTCCATGTCTTGGTAGTGTGGTCTAATGTAGAAGTGTACCTGCACGGTCCGGTTTCACAGCCTCCCCTATCACCCAAGCTGGGTATTTGAGGTGTGCCCTTTGTGTGGGCTGAGTATACCCTCCTCTTGTAGTTGAGCCTTGGTTGCTGTTGGCATATCAATGGCAGGGATTTACCCAGGCCAGTCAGCTGCAAGGACTGGCTATGACCACTGCCCACTAACCTCTGCCTTCCATGGAGGATCAGCTGTGCAGAGGCAGGGTGGTGGTGCTCCAAGGTGGTCTATAGCTGTGCACTGTGTATGTTAGCTCTAGGGTTTCCTGGGTGATGCAGCCCCAATCTGTGTTTTGTCCAGGGCACCGTGCCTGAGCTATAAATCAATCTTGAGGTGGCTGCTACTAGTGCTAGGCTTGGAGGTTCCCAGGTGAGGCTAAACTGTGACTCTAATCTGGCTGCCACTAAGGTTCACTGAAGACAGCTGTTGCTTATTTGATGGGACTTAGTAGCCAAGACCAGGAGCTTTTCCATTCTTATGGAAAAACAGCTTGGGTGAGCCTGTAAATTGGGTGGGGTCGAGCTTTTAGGGATCTCCAAGGTGGGTCACACAGTGTTACCCAGGTTGATGAAGTCTCAGATATGACACCAGCCTGCTGGCTTTGTCAGGGGGGTTAAGGGGGATGGGTCAGCAAAGGGACAATGGCCTCTGCTCACCCTGATGCCAGACATTTCAGTTTTTCCTTGTATACTACTGGTGCCCTTCAAGCTGCCACCCCAGTGCTGGAGCTCAGAGGGAACAAGTCTGAGTAGGTGAGTCCATGTGTGGGTTATCTAAGAGGAACTGTTTAGGGTTCCAGCAACCTCCTCCATTGACTCAATCCTGCTGGTTTTCACAGCCAGAAATTGTGGGGACTTATCTTCCTGGCACTGGAATCCTGGGCTGGGGGCCCTGATGTGGGTCTGGGACTCCTTGCTTCCAAGATATCCCTCCCAAATTTTTATACACGTGGGTGTGGGGCCAGCTTGATCCACATCTGCACCCCTCATACCAGTCTGGGTGGATGTGGTTTCTTCAATTCTACAGTTGTCAGACTTCCATTCAACTTGATTTCACAGTTTTTAGACTTCCATTCAACTCAATTTCTGATGTTCCTATGCGATGGTTGGTTGTTCAATATTTTAGTTGTAATTTTGATGTGGCTGTGCAAAGAGGCAAGCCGTGTCTGCCCATGTCTCCATCTTGACCAGAAGCCCAACATCTGCTTTTTTAAAGTGCCCGTGCTGGACAGGCCCAGGCACTCTCTTGGTATAAGAGATCAGGAAGCTAAAATACAGACTTGTCACACAGCTAGTCAACAGCAAGCTAACCTAAAACTCAGTGTATGACTCATGTTCCACTGAGCTGCAGTCTTTAGTCTTCCAAAGAGATTCCCTTCCGCTGCTCACTTCTGCTGCAAAGAAAAACACTACAAGTCCCCAAAGCCTCCTGAACACCTCTAAATGTAGAAAACTTTAAGAGAGCTTTATAAAGGTAAGATCTAAATCTGTCAAGAGGTTGAAAAAACTATTTTGAACAAGTATGCTCAAACTGTGATCAAA